GAGAGAGAGAGAGAGAGAGAGAGAGAGAGAGAGAGAGAGAGAGAGAGAGAGAGAGAGAGAAGCGGTGAGGTAGGGAGTGCCTGGCTGCATGTTCCTTTGGGCTTTTTCTGCTCTGCTTCTGCACAGAGAAAATGCGATCTGGGGTTGCATAGAAAGGGAAAGCTGAAAACTTTGTGAAAAGTAATTACCCTTGATCGTACTCCGAGTACTAAGGAATTTGTTCCTTGTGTGGGTGTTTTGCAAAATATCATGCAGGCATTTGGAGTTTGACACATTGGAGGATTTCCAAGTAGCCAATGCGCTTCTCACTCGTAATAAGTTCATGTGGCCACGGCCAATCCGACTGGAGCAGGTGAGCAATGCGATGCGATTAAGCCCTGAAAACATATTGCCCTAGCGATGCTGCTTCCAACAGGATTTGAATTTTGAACCCTGACGACCTGATTGCTTTCCTATCAGCAGTACTGGACAATTCCTTGCTGCACCCTGACGACCTGATTGCTTTCCTATCAGCAGTACCGGACAATTCCTTGCAGCACCCTGACGACCTGATTGCTTTCCTATCAGCAGTACTGGACAATTCCTTGCNCCTGATTGCTTTCCTATCAGCAGTACCGGACAATTCCTTGCAGCACCCTGACGACCTGATTGCTTTCCTATCAGCAGTACTGGACAATTCCTTGCAGCACCCTTCGTGCCCCAGTTCAGGCAGGCATTCATTCTTTCTGGGCCAGCTGATGGTGGATCTCATGTGTGGGAGGAAATATGCAGGCAGAAGTAGAGAAACAGGCAAGGGTAGCCATAGCTGTGAGAAGGCTGCGTATAGAGTAGGGAAGGCGGCCACTGCCTCCACGGTGGAGAGAGTGAGGAGGACATGAGGTTGGGGGTCACATCTGGCATGTGCGAGAGAGTGATGCTTATCTGTTGACACTAGTCATCGTTGTTTACTCCATTGCTTATCAAGGTATGCTGCATCATTGTTTTGAGGGTTGATCAAGTTGGTACTCCATTGCTTATCAAGGTATGCTGCATCATTGTTTTGAGGGTTGATCGAGTTGGCGCTTGCTGTGAATGGGCAGCGCTTGAGATGACACTTGGCAAGGGAGCAGCATGGTTAGGAGAGGCCGACCCAGAAGTAGTGTTGGGAGTTAGTGAGAGTGTATCTTGTTGATGAGAGCGTACGGCGAGAGGAGATGGAGAATCCGCCGTAGAAGGGGGAGAGGCCATCGATTACTAAACCACAGGTTTGCCGGAAGCTAAGTCGTTCTCTTACCAGTGTACGGGGCAAGAGATCATGATGCTTTGGGCCTACGCTGGTGGTGGCCTGTGGGGACCGCTGAGAAAAGGCTCAGTTGGAGGCTCTGGAGCCGTGGAAGGTAGCTTCGTGCAGATAAGCTCGGTTGATGTGGTATTCTAAATTCTAATGACATTATTTATTGAGTTTCATGTGTTGAGCGCATGCATGCGTAGTGTCAGAGAGGTGAACATTCAGAACCGGGTTCATTGCAATGGCTTTCAAACCAGTTAATCCGCTGATCCAAAAGCAGGACCGCATTTGCTGTGCCACACCTTTTTTGGGAGTTGGCAGGGCAACTGTGCGCTGGTGGTTGTCAGAGACGGCGCTGCAGAGATTGTGCCTGTCTTCTGCTTCGAGGAGGCAAACAGCATGCTGTATGGCCCGTAGAGTGGGAAGGGCTGCGGGGAGGGGAGGGTGTCACAGTAGTACATATATACAGGGTTGCATCTCTGCCGACCGCCGACCGCCGACCCCGACCGCCGACCGTATTGCAGCCGACCAGTTGGGCCGACCGGTCGGCGGTCTGCCGACCAGTAAATACTAAATAATAATAATAATAATACTAATACTAATAATAATAATAATAAATTAATAATAAAATAACAACCGTCCACTGATTTTTTTTCAAATCTGAGTTGGGGGCTGTACTGCGCTTGCTGAGTACAGCCCAAATCCGTTGAGAAACTCTTGGGGATGGGGGGGATATGGGGGGGTTGGGGTTGGAGTACAGGGGGGGANTTGGGGTTGGAGTACAGGGGGGGATAGGGGTGGTATAGAGGGTATTGGGGTGGCCCGGGGGGTAATTAGGGTGTTGGGGGCGGTTTGGGGGCGGTTTGGGGAGGTGTATGGGGGTATTGGGGGACGCTATGGGGTGTTGGATGTGTTATTTTTTTTGCAGGGTGCCGACGACCACCAACCGGTAGGTGCCAACCAGTCAAGGGCCGCCGACCGTTGGGGGGTGCAACAATGCATATATATATGAGCTCGCTGAGACATTCCCCTGTGTTGCACTGCTGTCGAATTGTGTTGGCCGGAAATGTGTGCCATCTGGCAAGGATGTTTTATACAACTGTTGCGGAGCACATGGTTCCCAACTTTCAGAGTGATTGCTGTCATTGGGATCATGACGAGTGGTCTTGAGGCATTGCGGGGGTTGGTGGGTGTAGGGTAGGAGGTGGTGCACAGTGGAGGTGCAGTTGCATGGCGGCCAGGATGTCTTTGCCCAACATCTCCCCACCTTCAAAAACTGTTTCGTTCCTTTCTTGCTGGATGACAGCGAAGCCCACGCCGGTCAGTTGCCTTAGCAAGACAACCCCACTCTTTACGATAACCCCACCCTTTCTTAACCCCACCCTTCCTCCAGACTACAGTGATTTGGATACCTGCCAACAGTACCCAGTATGCAAACCTTCTGTGTGCCTATACTTCGTGAGGCCGGTGTATGACACAGTTTTCTTCCACCCCAAGGTAGTCCCAAATGAGTTTTGGGGAGGGCCTGAGATCGATCGAATGAGGTGTGCAAGTGTTGTAGTGGAGTAGGGGGACGACAGTCCAGTGCGCAAACTCTCTCAGGCTTGTACGCTCAGAAAACTGAGAGTATGTTGGGAAAGTATCCAGCTTGGCTGTTTGACGGAAGTCCTCCCAAAGGATTTGTCGACTGGCATGTAGGTGACTATGGCATTTGGTTGGGTAATGTGGTCGGAGGGCTGCAGTGGCTGTTCGACTGGCATGACGGCACTATCCAGTGGAGGGCTGCAGTGGCTGTTCGACTGGCATGACGGCACTATCCAGTGCGCAAATGTTGAGAAGTAGCTGTGGTCGGAGGCATGTAGGTGACTATGGCATTTGTTGGGTAATGTGTGGGAGAATGGTGCGGCATCGACGTTCGAGAGCGTGACACCGTCTAGTGCCGTCTCTTGAAACGTAGTGGGTTTGAGACGAGTGGTCCAGAGTTCCAGAGACACGTCGGTTGTGACAGTCACGGATATGGGTGTGCTGGAGGAGAGCGCATCAGAGGTGGATGGGCAGGTTCATTCGAGTGGAGGGTTTGTGGAAGGTGCACGAGGGAGAAGACAATTGGAGGGAACTGAGGACAAACCGGCTCCGTGTGTGTCATGGGTGGCACTAGGAGGCAGCGATGGGGTTGTACCTTTGTAGTTATAGGTAGGGTTGGATCTTCGACAGGAGATGGTTGTTTAGATGATGAGGTGAGGGTTGGCTTTTCATTGCAACAGGGGCGTTTGGCACACTTGCTGTATGTTTCGAAGGCGGGGTGGTTGCGCCTGCAAAACCACAAAAACAGTGAGAAGAGTGTTATTAAAGCACTCCTTGGTAAACGGTGTTTGTAGTTTGGTTTGTCCTTGCCGGGAGGCAAAGCGGACATGTGCTAGTTGCCCCGCGATTAACGGAAGAGAGCACAGGTGGTTGAGGCCCTGAGGGTGAATCCCAACATGTTTGATAGTTTGTCCTTGTGATCTATACGATGGCACACCTGGAACGTGCAAAATCAAGTCGCTTGGGTTAGGTGCGTCTCACAGGGAATCGTCTTCTTTGCCCAAGGGAAAGGGGATGTTTGGTTGGCCATTGTGAGGAGCGTGCCAGAAAGGGGAGCAGGACTCAGGTTGGGGAGCATGTGTGTGTGTGAACGAGGCTATTATTTCCAGTTGAATCAGCGACGAGGCGTTCTCTGTTGCAGACAGCATTTGTGCGTGGCAATATTCTGTAGGGGTAGGATGGGAATCGTTGTTTGAGGTTGAGATGGTGCGGGGATGATGATGGTAAATCAGTTGATGAGGCATCGACTGCCACATAGAGGTATGCATGATTTTCTAAGAGAGAGAGAGAGAGAGAGAGAGAGAGAGAGAGAGAGAGAGAGAGAGAGAG